TGAATGTTTCGAGTTCAATTTCTGTACAAAATTGTCGATTGTGACTGTTTGTGGTTGGATTGTGCTTTCAATTTGTGTTATGGTTTGGGATTTGGCTTCAATTTGTGATGTGTTTGCTGCCTTGGTGTGTCATTATCTCTAACGTAAACCTAAAATCGAAAAAGTAGGGTTAGCTTTTGACTGTTTGGGGTTCAATTTCTATAGAAATTAGTCGATTGTGACTGTTTGGGGTTGGATTTTGCTTTCAATTTGTGTTATGGTTTCGGATTTGCCTTTAATTTGTGATGTGTTTGCTGTCCTTGGTTTGGGATTTGCCTTTAATTTTGCTTTCCTTTTATGGCAGTGACATTGTGAAAAGCAGAGTACCACTATTTTACCATTTGATTCACCATTTGGGATTTGATTCTCATTCCTTATTTGATTTACCATTTGCCAATCATTTGATTCACCTAAGTTCAATACAAACCAGAAATGAAATGAGAGAGAGAATATTGATAAATACCAAATAATGTGGGGGGAGTAATCTATTAAGCTAGAATTTGTTTCCTTTAATAACTGAAATATAGAGAGATAAATAGACATACAAATACTTTGCTTGACTCATGCAACTTTGCCCTCTCTCATGTTTGTTAGGATTTCAACAATGTTTGCTTATATTTGCTTTGCTTCTTAATGATAATAATCTTTGCTTTTATGGGCACATCCGATCCAAACCATTCATCAGGAATGTGGAGGCTTATAAATGCTTACTATGCTTGGATTGTTTGTCAATGTAGAAATTCTGGGCAGGATTGCTGCATAATGATTATATTGACTGTGGTTGTGGTTGTTATGAAATACAAAGATATTCCATGAACAATATTAAACTAATTTTCACTTCTATAACTCAAAATATTCAAGGATTGTAGAGTGTATGAAACCTCAATTATCTTATGTTATGGATTTCCTAACTGGAAAAACAGGAAAATGTTTTATGTTTTTATAATAATTTTTTTATCCTTTACATATTTAATTCTTCTCTTTGTTTTAGAGAACTATGGCTTCTTCTTCTACTAATAATAACAACATAAGATTAAAACCAAGATTGTGTGCTTGTGGGAGAACTGCGGCGATGTATATTGTACGCACGAATGACAATGGAAACCAAGAACGTTTGTTCTTTGTTTGCCCATTGAAATATGTAAGTATCTATTATATAATTAGATCTATCTCTGTGATTTGATTAACTAATTGTTATTTCTGTGATTTGATTAACTAATTGTTGTGCATTGTAGAGTCATAAGGAACACTGTAATTACTTCAAATTCGTAAATAAGGATGATGATAACACTAGCTCCACAATCCGTTCCAATGTTGGACCTCGGAAAGCTGTAAGAACAGAAGAATTAAACGATCTACTGACAAGGCTTTGTGAGATGGACATAAGGCTTTAAAGGATGGAGAAGAAGTGGAAGACAATGATTGTTGTCATTGTTTTTTTTTTTTTTTTGTGTTTTGGCACTTTATCATGTAAATGACTTTCTTTTGTATCTTTTTGTGTCTTTTTGTACTTTAATCTCTGTACTCAATGTAGCACGCAATGTTCTCTCAACCCCATCTTGCAATTTCCTGTCTGTGTCTTTGTTTATTTATAGTCTTCCTGTATTTCATCCCTTTGATGGACCATCAAGAAGTAAAATTTCCTATCTTTGTGGAATATTTGGATTGTATGCATTTCTTTTTTCCATTTTGAACCACTAATTGAGCATAGCCTATAAAAGTTCAGAATTTTACAAATTGGTGAAGAGAAACAATTCTGGAAGGTAATTTTTTTATAATAAAAAATAAAAAATCTTTGAAAACCAAGTGTTGGTGTTGTTGTTGTTGTTGAAGAAGGGATATAGGTTGTAAGTGGAGCATAAATGCACACAGTTTTGTATTGCAGTCAATCTGAAAACCAAGTTATTTCATATACCAAAGCCCCAAATGCTGAAATTCAAGAAATTGCACGTCTGGATTGGATCCTTCTTTGTTAAAACTTAAAAATCAACAGATAAAACCTCTTCTTACCGTAGATATATTCCTGATAAATGAATCATCAGTAATATATAATATTCCAAATTCATATCTTTATAAGAAGCAAGCAACAAAGAATTACTAAATGAAATTGATTAGAGAGAAAAGTGAGGCAATACTCAACTTAGATGTGTAGATGAAGAAAGTGATTGGAGAGACATTTATGGGTACTGAATGGATTTTCCCAAACAAATTCAATTTTTTTGACTAGCCATTTTCACAATAAATTACCCCATTTCACAATAATCTATCCAACTGACTTAATGTAATAACCCCGACCTCCAATTAATGCTAAACCATGATTATTTATGCCTAACAGTAATTTAGAAGGAATCTAGAATTATATGTATTGCATTATTTTTGTGTTTCTATCTGTTTGCGATAAAATGATCTGTTCATGCCTTTGACTTTAACTGCGAATTGAAAGCCTTATCGACGACCGATTCAGAAATTGATTAGTGTGTTATACTAGTTAGATTTTATGTGATTTTATGGTAGGCTTAATTAAAATTTGATTTGGTTTGATTAAATTAGATTAAATAACATTAAATTACATTAGTTAAGTTTATTACCAAATTACCATTGAGTGGCCCATTACCTAAGGCAACCTTGAGATTGATTCATACATTTGCTGCATCTTTTCATCATCCATTGAGAGACCAAATCGTGGGAGAGAGTAGGAGATAGGGGAAAAACTTAGTTTCAACAAGATTTTGCTTGGAAATTGGAGGACTTGTAGAAGAATTGCATAATTGAGCCTTTATACTTGGAATTGAAGACCTAAAGGTAGAGAATTCATCCTTTTAATTAGGAATGTGAGTTGTTCTTGCTAGGTTCATGGTGAAATTGGTATTTAAAGTCAAGATTTAGCTCTAAGTGTGGTTTTGAGAGTCCGTCCATGCATGCATGCATAAATTTCCATGCTTTGAGTTTGAATTCTAAGATTTCTTCCATGCATGTGTTATTTTCACTCACATTATGGTCATTCATCTTGTTGTCCATCAAATTATCAAGTTTGATGATGTTTTGGAGGGTTTTGATTCAATGAGATTCTTGCATGTTGTATTAATGGCATGTTCTTAGAGGTCATGTTGATTTTGCACAAATTGGGTTGCTCTTGGGCCATGATTTCTTGAAATGATTTTTAATACATGTTGTTTTATGAGTTATTTTTTGTTTTCTCAAATATTGGCCAAGAAAAATGAGTTTTAAAGGCTTAAAGGTTGAGTTTCATGCTTGGAGGTCAATCTGGATTTTCCAGAAATTTGACCCACGCTCGAGCGGGTACTTTCACGCTCAAGCGTGAATCCTGAGTACATGCACTTCCGCTCAAGCGTCTATAGTTACGCTTGAGCGTGAAATGCGTATACCCAGAAGTTTGTGTGTTTTGCAGTCCGCTCGAGCGGGGGAATCCACGCTCGAGCGAGACTCTAAGTCTCACGCTCGAGCGGGGGTCGAGCGCCCGTCGAGCGTGAAAATCTTACATCTAGTACTTTTGTCGATTTTACAGTCCGCTCAAGCGTATAAGTTCATGCTCGAGCGGAGCTTCAACATCTGCATGTCCACTTGAGCGGGGTAATCCACGCTCGAGCGTGAACCTTATCTTCAGCAAAATTTAGGAAATGGTTTTCAAGGCATGTTTGCATCCTCATTCCATCCTAGGCATTCGTAGGCCATGTTTAAGGCCCTTTAATGAGGATTAAAGGTTAGAAACACACTAAGAGCCATCGACGTAAGTTTTGTACAATTAGAACGTGTGTTTCAAGTGTGTATTTGTTATGTGTTATGTAGGTCACGTGCCGCGTTCTGTCTGAGTAATCTGCTCCGTCTATTTGTCTCAAGGCCAACTGTGAGTAATAACTTAGTAAAATTATGTTCAACTGTACTTATTTTCTGTGTGACAAAATGAGATTTGTTTTCTGAAATGATAGGTTCTGTACAATGAATGATTGTCCAATTTCTGATATCTATTCGTGACATCCTTAGCATCATGTGATATCTGTTAGCTGTTACCCGGTATCGGAGGTTCCTTTATGGAACTTATTTCTGTCTATACTCTGTTACCCGTACCGGAGGCCCTGTCACGGGGGCTCAGCTTCTGTTCTGTTGCCCGGATCCGGAGGTTCCTTTATGAAACTGGTTATTCGTAACCTCACGTGTATACGTTCTGTTCTATTCTGTTCTATTCTGTTAATGCTAATGGATGTATCACGTAAACTTAATCATGACTTATGATTTCTGTCTGTATATGATCTGGACAAATGATGAATTTGATACAAATCTGAATTATGATTTCTGAATCTGTATGAACTCATTCATTGAAACCCTTTACTCTATTATTATTCACTGGGCTTTCGTTCACAGTTTATATTATGTATGTAGGTAAGCCGGCACATGACCAGGGCCAAAGTTGAAGGCCCTCTGTACCGTTTTGCCAGCCAACCCTTGTGCCTCGGAGGTTCTGAACGAAGCCTAATGCCATGGCTGTTTTTGTATACATGCTAGTCTTTGTGTATGCTCTGTAAAGTCAGGTCTTGGGAAGTACATTCTGTAAATACCTTATAAATATTGTGTATCTGGACTAGCATGTTTAAGTATATCTATATATAAGTTTTGAAATGTTCTGTCCCATGTACGTTATCACAGCTCATTGGACCTTGTCTATTTTGTATTATTGCTTCCGCAGCCTCATATTATTTGCTAATCTGAGGCCTTTGGTAATCCACAGATTACTGGCCAGTTACGGTGCTAAACTTACAGGGACGGGTTTGGGTCGTGACACTTAAAAACAAATTCAATTTTTTTGACTAGTCCCTTTCACAATAGAATTACCCCCATCATCCAAATGGACCCTTACAGGCTTCACATCACTTATGAATGCATTATCCTCTGTATTAAACTTAACACATCATATCCCAAGTAAAATGTTGTCAAACATTGCCACAAAATGAGCCAACAAAAACATTGCCACAAAATGAACCCTACTGTCATTTTTCACAAAAATAACCAAACAAAAAATGAACTCTTTTCAAACATTGGCAGAACATCGAGCCAACACAAACATTGCCACAAAATGTATCCAAACGAAATAAAACCAAACTATCCAAAGTTCACATATACAAATGCCATATAATTACTAGTACGAAACTAAAAAAAAAAAAATGGGACATTTGGCCCCCATCTATATTCAAGTCAACAAATTTTGATGCTACTGTCGAACTTTGACTGTTTATATTGTTGACCATTCCTGATTGAGTATGAGATATGCTTCCAATATTGTCCGCCATTTGTATTGTGCTAACCCGTGCCTATAAAAATAAAGTAAATATTATTTGGCACTGTCCACAAACATTTTCAGCAATCTAAAATTTAATTGATCAATAAAATATGTATACTCATATATTAAACACGTACTGGTACATACATACTGTCTTGTATGCCATCCATGCAAGGAAAATAGTAAGGTTCATCTTGCGGCACCTTAACATCATTTAGTAACAAAATTTCATTAGTAATTTCAAGCATTAAAATAAAAACCCACAACAAAGAAAGTTCAATATACAAAGTCCTGTGAACGCATACTGGTATATATATATTGTCTTGTGTGCCATCCATAGAAGGAAAATAGTAAGATTGATTTTGCAGCCCCTTATGATCAAATAGTAACACACTTCATTAAAATAAATATCCACAAAAACCATACAAACACAACCTTTATATTTTAACACGTACTGGTTCATCCATAGTATGTTGCACGCCACCTGTACAAGGAAAGTTTAACTTACGAGGTTTACCTTGACACACCTTGTGACCCTAAAGTAACAAACATTGGTGAATGTGTTAAGATTAACAAATTCTGAAATTAACATATGTAGTGGGAAATAAAATATTTACCTGTACAGGAGTAGCCTTCTTATTATTTCGTTTCAACCGCATCACTATTGTATCAACTTTGTTAACCTTCCGTTTCATACATGGATGGCCTCGTCGGCGAGCAACCAAAGGATAAAGTACCTTGCGAGTGATGCTTTCTTTTATAGTATTGCGAGCAAACGAACTTTTCGGTGAAGTATGGGAAGGTGGTAAAGTACTTGTAGAAGTTGGTACAGTATTAGTACATGGCAAATTACTCGTACTACTCGATTGAACTGGTCTCACTCTATCCTTGATTTCTATCAACCCAAGTTGAATCACTTCGTGTTTACCATCATCATTGGTAGTAAGTTCTAGGATCTCATCCAATGTCTTGTGATAGTTATCATGTAACTTTGGATTTAGAGCAGCCCCAAATATAGTATATGTGGTTGGAATGCATGTATATTCTCTTTCCACGTCTTTTCTCCATCTCGGAATAATGTATTTATTTGGCACCTCATATATGGACCTCTCAATGAACACACAAAGTGAATGGGCATATATAATACCTCTAAACTCAAACAACCGACACATACATTAGAGGTCACATTCAGTTGAATTACAGTGCACAACAAATTCCACTTTCTTCATCCCCTCACCCAGAAGAACAGCCTCCTTCACATGATAGGTACAAATTGCTCTCTCCTTATTGATAAGATTTGCACGACAATACACTAGACGCTTCAATTCTGCTTGAACTTCTTTAAATTTTGAATTAGTGTAAGCTGCACGAAATTGCTTCTCAAAACGATACACCGTTAAGCAATCATGCAATTTGTTACAGGACTTAAAAATCTACTCTTGTCTTATTCTCTACCTTACTTCTCAAGGCATTGTCATATTGCTCAACAAATTACTTTAAGCTTGTCTTGGAGTTCACATATCCATCAAAAAATACATTTATGCTCTTACTTCGTTGTGTAGTTGACATACCACCCCAAAATATGTCTTTCACATAGGCAGGAATCTATCTATGTCGCTCACGGTATAATACCCCTAACCACTCATTATCATTCAAATTGAATTTTGCAATCATTGCTTCCCAGTATTCATCAAATTCATCTTATGTAAATGAATCATAAACTGCATTACTCAAAGTAGCCTTGATGGATTCATATTGCGAATATCCTCTCAATTTCTCTGGAATTTTTTTCATTACGGGCCATAAACACCAACGATGTCGAGCATGTGGGAAGACAATTTCTATGGCATTTTGCATAACTCTGCACTGGTCAGTTATTATAGCTTTTGGGGGAGCATCTGATATGCAACTTAACCATTCTTTGAATAGCCAAACAAATGTCTCACTGTTCTCATTACATAATAACCCATGACCAAACAAAATTGACTGTCCATGGTGATTAACTCTTACAAACGGAGCAAACGACTTATCATATTTGTTTGTCAAATAGGTTGTGTCAAAGGAGACAACATCCCCAAATGCTTTATAAGCAGCCCTACTCCTTGCATCTGCCCAAACCAAGTTTCGCATGCGACCATCTTCATCAAGGTCAATTGCCGAATAGAAGTTCGAATTTTGTTGTTGCATTTTATGAAAATAAAGTGTAATTGATTTCGCGTCTCCTACTCCAAGTCTCAATCTTCTAGCATTCTGAATATAATTTCTTGCATCTCGTTCATCAAATGTTAATGCCTTATATCCCTCGGCTTCAACAACTATGGAATGAAAATTCCTAGCCACCCCAATCCCTGCTGCATCATTAACTTTTAGTCTCCTCTTCACCGGAGTAAGAATCCTCTTATTCATTGCAAAATATCGTGAGTCAGTAGGAATCAAATCATAAGTGTGCTCAAGCGCAACTGTGGTTAACTTATAGCTTCCATCCTTTTGTAGATTGGCTCTTACCCTTGTTTTACAATCAATTTTTGATGACAAAGATGGTTCTAGGGGATTTACTTCTGATCTTTTTGTTCTATTCCGTGCCTTAGTACATTCAATTCCAAAGTACTTCACTCCCCCATCCGTTGTTACATTTTGTGTTCTATAAGCTATAACAAATCCGAGTTGTTTCGCATATTTTGCATAAAATGCGTACACTTCTTGCTTTGAGGTAAAATACATCCCCTTCTTTGATTCTTCAACTTCACTACTCTCATTAAATTCAAGATTGTTACCATGTTCTTTAATTTCCTCACTCACATTGAATGAATTATTGTTTGACTCAATATCCATTGTAGCTTCAAAGTGAAATAAAATAGATATTTAGAGAGAAACTCAATCTAAGTTTAACAGTACAAATACAAAGCTTCAAAGTGAAATAAAATAGATATTTAGAGAGAAACTCAATTTAAGTTTAACAGTACAAATACAAATTCTTCAAACCAACAATAACATGAAGAAACTCAATTCACTGGTACACATGATCATGATACATTTACTTGAAACAGTAAACAAAGCAAGTTCAATTCAAATTCAACATCATGTTGTCCCTGTTCATTTTCAAATGTGGGGTCTGTTTTAAATCAATGTCAATGTTTAAATGTGGGTCTGTTTTAAATCAATGTCCAAAACACTTCCTTCCAAAAAACTTAAAAACAAGCCAAATTCCACAAAATCCACTCAAACATCAACATATGTTTGTAAGCACACATGATCAAATAGCTAGAGGCATAATAGAATCCCTCACAGCAGAGTACCTCCAATGCCTAAAAACTTGTTCATAAAAATTGCCCATATTGTTCCTTACAATACTCAATACTTGTTCATAAACTACCAATCAAAACATAAACATAAACGGTGATCAATTCAAAACGTAAACAACTTTAAACAAAATCAAATCAAATACTTGTTCATTTTTTCTGAGCAATACTTGTTCTCAAATAAAAATCAAATACTTGTTCTCAATACTTGTTCATTTTGTTCTGAGCAAAATCAAATCAAACACTAATAAAACCTAAATTTAAAACAAAACCAACTAAGAGCATGGATAATACACCCACCTGTAAGAGCAGCCACACCCTTCAGACACACAGCAGCAACGTCGCACCCTTTGGACACACAGCAGCAGCGTCGCCACGCACAGCAGCAGTGGCAACCCATTGGCACACAAAGCAGCAGCGGAAGCACCGTCGGCACACACAGAACCAGCACGACCCTCATCGGCGGCAACACCAACCTCGTTTGCACACAGAAATTCGCGATATGGCTTTCCTCTCCCTCTCTCTCTCTCTCTCTCTACTCTGTTTATCTTTTTTATTTTATTTTATTTGAAATGAAATGTAAAACTGAAATGAATAACAAACGGGGGTGTACAAAGATATGTGGGTGGGTATAAAAGTCGGGCTATGTTCGAGCCACCGAATTCGAGTTACTAATTTTTTTTTGTAAAAAGATATAGAGATGTGAAATATGAAAAGGACCTTATTCCGAAAGTCTGAGTGATTTTTTGAAAAGTTGATAAAAAATTGACTTCTTGACTTGGCTAAAAAAGTTAATTTTTTTTGTGACTTCTTTTGGATAAAAAAAATTAAAAAGTCATAAAAAAATTAACTTTTCCCCAAATTTCCAAATTGCCCCCGGATCTGAACCTTTGAGAAATTGATTAATCTAGCTGTCGAGATTGACTGTTAGAAAGGTGATCATACCCATTCTTTAGAGCATTTATAACCCAACATTTTCAATTAAATATATTTTTTTATTCAAAAAATAAATATAAAGTATCTCATTATTTATACAAACTTTAATCTTCTTTAAAAATTTCCTCCTAAAATATTTTATCAAAAAGTCAATCACTTTATTTGGTTTTAGTTTTTAAAAATTTATTTGTTAGAAAATTTAACTTTTTCATTTTTCGTATTGTTTTGTTCTTACTATTTTTTTAAAAATATTATAAGCAATTTTTTTTTTAATTATTAAACACATCTAACGTAAATATACTTAAAAAGTATAATATTTATAAAAAAATATTTAAAAAATTCACTAAATATCAAAAATATAAAAAAAATTACGAAAATTTAGTACATTTTTCATATTTTTGTGTATTTATTAATTTTTTAAAATATTTTTTCACAAATATTTTACTGTTTAGATACATTTAAGTAATGTGCATCTAACAAAGTAAAAAAAAAATTGCTTGAAATTTTAAAAATATTCACTAAAAATAAAAAATACGAAAAACAAAAAATTCAATTTTCAAAAACTGAAACCAAACATACTAAATAATTTTTGTTCATAAACAAATATTTAATTTCTATTTTTTATTAAATATATTTAATATTACATTCATCGTAAAAGTATAATTTCAAATTATACTAATTTTATAAAAATTAAATTTACATAATATTAAAAGTTTTTTTTGGTAATATAATTAAAAATATTAAATGAATGGGTAAATCACACTAACACTCATGAGGTTTCTATTTAATAAAGATTCTTCCCTAATGTTTGAAAAATTACACTTACTTCATGTCAGATTAAAATAACATATTTGACCCTTAATTTTTTTACATATAAAAAAATAAAATAATACTGATATTTTATTCATTTTTTTTCTTGAAATAACAATAATCTTTTTTGATTTAACTCACACAAAAAATTAATTTTTTTTATTTTTAAGTTTTTATTTTTAATTTTTTTATTGATTTGTTTAATATTTTAAATAATTTTTTTTAAAATTTTTTTAGATACACCTAATGTAGATATACTTAAGAAGTATAATATTTTGTGTTTTTTTTTTAAATTCGCCAAATGTACAAAAAAAAATACAAAAATATAAAAATTCAATAATGTAGTAATAAATGTGAATAACGGTGTTTGGTAATACTGTAATAAATGTGAGTGAATAGACGAGAAAGAAAAATGATGGTAGAAATAAACATGAAAATTTCTATTTGTATATAAAAATATTGTGATAGCGATGTTGTTGTAAATACAAATCGTGTTTATGAATATTTTATTTTAAAGTGAAAGGTCATCATTAAGCAATATCGTTGTGTTTGAAAATTTTATATAAAATTTATTTTTGTATATTATCACTAAATAAAAAAATATATATGTAGAATTTAATGATGAAAAATTTTAGAATGTAATCATGATGATATGAAAAATAAATAGTAGAAAAAATAGCAAAATAATTATTTAAAAATTTTTAAGATATGACATCAACTATTTAGGAGATAATTTATAATGAAATTATAAATCTTAGCGAAAGAAATGTAATTTTTGAAATGTAAAATGAAAATTTGTATAACACAGGAAAAGGCAGGGGGCGTTATTGTAATTTACCCTAAATGAGTAATGTGTGAGAGGTTTGGAAGTGAACAATAATGCTTGGGACCCCTTTTGGGGGGTCATCTCTCACTCCTTTTGTTACGTGGCGGGTGATGATTGGAGGAGCAGAAAAAAAAAGAAAAACTCTCACTCCTTTTGTTACGTGGCGGGTGATGATTGGAGGAGCAGAAAAAAAAAGAAAAACTCTCACTCCTTTTGTTACGTGGCGGGTGATGATTGGAGGAGCAGAAAAAAAAAGAAAAACTCTCACTCCTTTTGTTACGTGGCGGGTGATGATTGGAGGAGCAGAAAAAAAAAGAAAAACTCTCACTCCTTTTGTTACGTGGCGGGTGATGATTGGAGGAGCAGAAAAAAAAAGAAAAACTCTCACTCCTTTTGTTACGTGGCGGGTGATGATTGGAGGAGCAGAAAAAAAAAGAAAAACTCTCACTCCTTTTGTTACGTGGCGGGTGATGATTGGAGGAGCAGAAAAAAAAAGAAAAACTCTCACTCCTTTTGTTACGTGGCGGGTGATGATTGGAGGAGCAGAAAAAAAAAGAAAAACTCTCACTCCTTTTGTTACGTGGCGGGTGATGATTGGAGGAGCAGAAAAAAAAAGAAAAACTCTCACTCCTTTTGTTACGTGGCGGGTGATGATTGGAGGAGCAGAAAAAAAAAGAACAAATTTGAGAAGAGCTTCTCTCTCTCTGCCTGTCTCTCCAATTTGGATCTTCCGATTTTCTTTCAACGTTCAAGATTCGTCCATCTGAGCTGATGATCAGCTGATCTTCTCTGATTTAAAAATTCTTTGTTTTTGGGGGAGTTATGTCTTCAACAGACATGGAAGGGAAGCTTCTTCCGATTTCTAGGCATTTCTTCAAGGTCATGGTGCCTGGTTTTCTCACGAAGCTTGTATGTCCTGTCTCTCTCTTTCTATTTTGCTTTTTCGGAGCAAGTTCACCTTTGCATTACTTAATAAAATTTCACACAAGTGTTATGGAAGTACCCTAGTTTGTAGAATGTTTTGGAATTTGATGCTTACTTTAATAATGAAATCACCTAGTTGACTTGCAAGCGGCTGTATTTGGTTCATGGATTTAGGGAGTGATTTGAAAAGAGAAAGGAAAAATGTAAGTGAAATGTGTCACTCACGTTTCACACACTTTTTTTTCTTTCCCTTTTTAAATTGTTTCCTAAATCCATTAGGGTCTATATTTCTTTGATGATATAAGGTAGTGCTAAATTTTTAGTCAAAAGTTTAGCTAACCATTGTAGAGCTCAAGATTGAGTTTTTTTTGTTTTTTGTGACAACAATAGCAAGCCAAAAAAAGTGATTTGAAATTAAATTTTGCACAATTGTAGAAAGGTTTGCTGTAGAGGTAAATTGATAATTTTAAAGTGAAGAATTTAATAGAGGTGAATATTTTGTTAAGATCCTTTTACAAGTGGAATTCTTTATAAAAGAATTTGAAATACTCTATTGTCCATGTTTTTTCAAATCCATCAAATTTAAATTTCAGATTTATTTTTGAAACCTAGATGTAAAACATTACGTTGAATTGAAGGCTATACTAAACAACATATATGGCTCGTTCTGTGTTGGATATATAGGCTCTTTGTTGTGTTGTTGGGCAGACATATAGATATGTGTTGTTAGACTATAAGGCCATGTTTGTTTGGGCGGACTGGATTAGCATTCCTATGACTAACAGTCCTAAGACTACGAATCCGTTGGATTATGTATCCTATCTTAACTAATAGTCAAGTTTAAAATAATTAGTCCGTACTTCAATTGTTTAACCAAACATCGGATTAATAATTTTATTGGACTATTAGTCCAATCTTGCTATAGAGGTAAATTGATAATTTTAAAGTGAAGAATTTAATAGAGGTGAATATTTTGTTAAGATCCTTTTACAAGTGGAATTCTTTGTAAAAGAATTTGAAATACTCTATTGTCCATGTTTTTTCAAATCCATCAAATTTAAATTTCAGTTTTATTTTTGAAACCTAGATGTAAAACATTACGTTGAATTGAAGGCTATACTAAACAACATATATGGCTCGTTCTTTGTGTTGGATATATAGGCTCTTTGTTGTGTTGTTGGGCAGACATATAGATATGTGTTGTTAGACTATAATTGTGTAAGTTTGGTATAATTTACATGCTATTTGTAAATAATCTCTTACCGATTGAAAAACTTGAGTTTTTGTTGTGTCTAATATATGACTTTGCATGTGTTGCAGTCTTTACCACCTGCTTTCTGTAGAAAGGTTAGTGGGGAAAAATCAGAGGAAGCTGTTTTAACTAGTTCTCAAGGGACATGGCATGTCAAAACTGGCAAGTGCAGCAAAGGATTGATTTGTTTCAATGAGGGATGGGATAAGTTTGTCGGCCACCATGGCCTGAACCTTGGAGACTTTGTTGTGTTTGAGCACAAGGCAGACTTGCATTTCAATGTTTCTGTGTTTGATTCTAGCGCTTGCGTGAAAGAATTTCCTGCTAGTGATCAAGTATTTGTTCCAAGCATTTCCGAGAGAGAATTCCCTGCCAAGTTGGGTAATGATCAGAGAAAAAGAGCACATGGTGATCAAGTGTTTGATCCAAGCACTTGCAAGAAAGAAATTTCTGCAAAGTTGGATAATGATCAGATAAAAAGAGCTACTGGTGTTCAAGTGCCTGGAAAGAAAGAATATCCTGCTAAGTTAGGTAATGACCAGAGAAAAAGCACACGTGGAGATCAAGTGTTTGATCCAAGCACTTGTGAGAATGAAATTCATGCGAAGTTAGGTAATGATCAGAGAAAAAGACCACATTGTGATCAAATGTTTGATCCAAGCACTTGCGAGAGAGAATTTATTGCAAAGTTGGCTAATGATCAGAGAAGAAGAGAACCTAGTGATCCAGCGTTTGATCCAAGTGCTTGTGAGAAAGAATTTCCTGCGAAGTTGGGTTATGATCAGAGAAAAAGAGGACCTGGTGATCAAATAAACATCCATGAACATGGCAAGCACATTAAGAGTAAGTTGGTTTAATTTTAGCCTGTCTTAGTGATAATAACATGCATCTTCCATGAGACTGAAAATGTTATGTGCTTCTGTTTACTTTTTTCAGAAGTAATGGAAAATTGGAATCCAGTATTCAATAATAGAAGTCTTTCTTCAGACCACAAGAGGTTTTGCAGTTATGGCGGTGTTAATGATAGCAACAATGCTATACTCATCATCTTTATCATCTTTTTTTAATCACATAAAGTGGCATGGATTATCTATCCTCAAAATTCATGTACCCAGTCTTGAATACATTTTCAACCCGCACAATTGTACCTGAAGATTTTCTCATTGTTAGCGGGAGCGACATGGATTTTTGGGCAGAGGATCTCTATCCACAAAATGTGTCATATTTACAATTTTTTTAGATATTAGTGAAATTCGTGGAATTTACTGCTACAACAGTTGTGAATGTCCTGCATATGGTAAAAAATTGATTGAAGAGTGCAACATTATTGTAATGACAGTGTTATATTATTAGTGTTATTTTACTTTTGTGTATATTAGTATTCCCAAATTATTAACATGCAATATCAGTAGGTCTACTAACACAACATTTTTTTTCTCTTGTACACGGAACACTGCATTCATCCTCCACACCCCATATAGGGTTCTTAAACCTTTTTTTTTTTTTGCAATGTTGTGCCTAGCTGATGTATTGTTTTATGTTGCACTTGCACACATAGGAAAAAGCCCACTTGAGGAGGCTGCAACTTACATCCCTGGGGGTCCCCATTTCATAACAACCATGTCTTATGGCCATGGGACCAGTCATTATCCTAAAGTGGTAAGTTTTGAGTCCTTTCCTTCCTTTCTCTTGTCTTTCTTTTTTCTCAAAAGGATGATAATTGAACTAATTTTTGTGTATTTGTGCTTGTGATTTTGCCAATTACAGTATATCCCAGTGAAATTTTTGAAAGAGAGTGACCTCAGTGAAAATGGCAGCCTCACTCTTAGAGATCCTTCAGGAAAACCTTGGCCTGTGAAACTTCATTTCAGTAGGAGCGGTTTTTCAGGAAAAAGCTTACAAGTATATATGACAAAGGGTTGGTATGAGTTTTACACATCCAACAAGCTTAAGGATGGAGATGTCTGCCTCTTTGAGCTCAACCGAACCGTCACCAGAGGAAGGCCTGTCATGATGGATGTACGAATATTTCCTCTGCAAACATAAGCAATCCTTGGTTCTTGTTTAGTGTTGATCTATTGTTCGATTTTGGGGTTTTATTTATTTATTTATTATTTTTATTAGTATTATTTTTTTCGATTCCTTTGCTTTGAAGTTGTTTTTGCTTGTTACTAGATATTGCTCATGCTAATCTTTTGTAAGATGCGAATGTTAGTCATCCACGTTAATACAAGTGAACCACGATGTAGATCATGTATGCTTGGCCTTCTTGTTAATGATAGAATGTTTTTCTTGAATTGGTAGGAACTTATTATGTGTAAATATAAAAAAAATTATATCAAATTGGACAATTATAGTCAAACCCATCTTACACATGGAGGAGTATTTTCAAAGCAAGGCCTTTGTCGGTGGAAGGATTACGGTGGCAGATTGGGGATGGGAGGAGTGTTCAGGTGTGGGGGGACAGATGGTTGAATCGTCCTAGTGCCTTCAAGGTAATCTCTCCTTGCTTGAGTGGGTTAACAGACTTGACGGTCCACTCCCTTATTGATACGGATAGGTGATCTGCCTATCCTGGGATTTGACGAAGTTGAGAGAGGTCTTCTTGGAGATGGATGTGGAGCCAATTTTACAAATACCGTTAAGTCCGAGGCTTCCGCCAGATTCATTGGTTTGGCATTATTTGAAGAGTGGCGTTTTCTGTGTGTGTTCGGCTTTCCATCTTCAGATGAGTCTGAATGAAACTCAAGAGCAGGTTGGTACATCTAATGGAAATCAATAGTTGAGGTGGTTTTGGGGAAAGATTTGGAGTTTGCGTATTCCAAACAAAATTAAGATTTTTGTGTTCGAATATTCTACCTACTCAGGCAAACTTAAAGCCATGTCGAGTTTTAATGGAAGATGTTTGTGAGGTCTGCGTAGGGATGGCAATGAATAACCTACCCTGTGGGTATTCATGGAGATCCAACCCAAATACATGGGTTTTTTCTTTTTTTTTCTTATCCATTGGGTAGGGTAGGTGATATTCTTTAAATATCCATAGGGGATGGGTTGGGGATGAGTACCCACTAATTTCCCCATATTTTTTTTTTTTTTTTAAAGATTCACAATTAATACAACCAAACAAACCAAAAATATTTCTAAAACAACTCTCCCAAATTTTTTTCAAAATCAACTCTCCCAAAAACAAACCAAACAAGCCCTTGGAGTTTGCGTATTCCAAACAAAATTAAGATTTTTGTGTTCGAATATTCTACCTACTCAGGCAAACTTACACTGTGTTTGGATTGAGTGATTTGGAGAGAAAAGAAAAGAAATAGAGAGAAATGTATTTCTCTTCCTTGTTTGGTTATCTTAAGTGGAGAGAAATGGGAAGAAATAGAGAGAAATGGAGAGAAACTCATTTCTCTCATAACCCTTATTTTCAATCTTCCCAAAAGTGGAGAGATTGGGAGAGAAAAGAAATCCACAAATGTTTATATTTTTATAATACCAATTTTACCCCTATAAAAATAAAAGAAATAAAATGATTGAAAATATAAAAAGGTTATTTTGGTAATATAACATAAAATAATTTCTTTTCTTTTCTCTTAATGAAATCTAACCAAACAAGAAGGAGAGAAATCACAATCATTTCTTTTCTTTTATTTCTTACTTATCCAAACAAAAAGGAGAGAAATTACAATCATTTCTTTTCTTTTCTTTTCTCTTATTACTTAAGTAATCATTTCTTTTCTTTTCTCTCCTAAGTTACCAAACATAGCGTTAAAGCCATGTCGAGTTTTAATGGAAGATGTTTGTGAGGTCTGCTTAGGGATGACAATGGATAACCTACCCTGTGGGTATCCATGGAGATCAACCCAAATACATGGGTTTTTTCTTTTTTTTTCTTATCCATTGGGTAGGGTAGGTGATATTCTTTAAATATCCATAGGGGATGGGTTGGGAATGGGTACCCACTAATTTCCCCATATATTTTTTTTTAAAGATTCATAACCAAAACTAAATATACATTCAATCTTTTTTCTTTTATTTATTTATTTATTTTTTCAAGTTCACAACCATTTTTTTTTTAAAGAT